GCATTTGGGCTCAATGTAAATGTAATATAGGATTGGTCACAGTTGCTCATGGCTGTGTTAAAAATTCTTGACGACGTTCGTTCTTTTTTCGACAAAGGTTACCTTACGTTACTATGTCTCCTTGACTTCTCCAAAGCTTTTGACACTGTCGACCACCATTTCCTTTGTCCTAAGCTTAAGCATTGTTTTGGATTCAGCTAATATTCTCTGAAACTTATGACGAGTTATCTAAAGAATAGATTTCAACGAGTTACAGTAGGGAATCAATCCTCACAACCAATGAAACTAGTTTCTGGTGTACCATAGGGCTCAATTCTAGGAGCTATATTATTTACACTATTTCTTAATGACACCTTTTCGGTGTGCAAATTTGTTAGTATGCATGCTTATGCAGACGATGTTCAGATTTACTTGTCAAGTTCTTTCGAAAATGTTAATGATCTCTGTGATAAGATAAATCGGGATATTTTATCAATTATGCACTGGGCAGAAACCAACAGTCTTTGCCTTAACCCAAATAAAACGTATGTACTGCCTATCTCTAAAAAAAAGTTGCTTGTAAATAACATTCCATCCCTTTACATAGGTGCCAAACCAATTGCTTTTGTAAGTAAAATTACTAACCTGGGCTTTGTAATCAACTCGAATTTAACATGTGTTGATCATATAAGTATGGTAATGGTGTATTGCGCGCTACGTAATTTAAGACATTCGTCCTTGTTTGCCCCGGTCAACGTCAGACGTAAGCTTGCCATCCAATTAGTGATACCTAATTTGACGTACTCTGCACTCATATACAATAGACTAGACTCACAATCTGCTCATAAGGTTGAGGGTGTTTTTAATAATATTACTCGTTATGTGCATGGCCTGCGTAAATTTGACCACATATCCCAGTGGAGATACGATCTGTTGGACTGTCAAATCCTCGACTACATTGAAGCCAGAACCTGTATCTTTCTTTATCGACTTATGCTAACAAAAACGCCTTCGTATCTGTATGAGAACCTGAAATTTACAAAATCGTGCCGTTTATACGATTTAATTGTCCCCAGCTTTAACTCTCTAGCCTCGACTTGATTGTTCTCTGTGAACACTATACGTACCTGGAACTCGATTCCTACTTCCTTAAGGAGTAGTATAAACAAAAGCAACTATATAACTGTTTTTTACAATTATTTTTCTCAACTTATCATATTTTACTTTATTTTATTTTATTTTAAATTATAACTACTGACCTAGCCTTAAGTATATACATACATATATGTAAGCCTGCATTTTTAGTATCAACATAGTAATGTTTTTGTAAATGTATTAACAATCTGAGTTCCACTCTATCTGTTGTACTATAAAAGATTCAAAATTTTACTGTACTAATTTTTTGTGCAATAAATGACAAAGGACAAAAATGAAAAAAATGAGCTCAAATTAAGCATATACAACATTTTAATGAGCTCAAATTAAGCATATGCAACTTTTTCATGTCAAGTATGAATAACTTTTCTAAAATTTATGTGGCCAAAAAAAGTATGTGGTAGCTAAACCTAGCGACCAAAGGGCAAATCTGGTGTCGAAGCAAATTTCACTATTTCATTTCAATTTACATCAGTGTCAACTGGAATTCATGTTGTTGTACTTTTAAAATGATGGAACCCTTACTAACCACATTTCATTTTATGGAACCCCTCATCAAATTAATAAAAATAAAAGGCAGAGCAATTTAAATATGAATAAACAGTTTTACTCGAAATAGTATACATAATTTAAATTTGAATGTGAAGAATGAAATTGTTTCACTGTTAGTAATTATTGTATAAATTAGCACTGCGATATAATGTCTGAAAGCTGTATGCGCATTTCAGGGGTCTCATCCAATTTCGACATGAATCTTTTTTTTTTTAAGTGTAAGCTGAAACCCTTGTTGAGAGAGTAAGTTGTGACAGAAGGAAGCAAAGTCAAGATAGCCCTTTTAGCGACTTCATGATATTTACTCTTAACACTAACCCAAAACTCTTTCAGAGACACAGATTCAAATGTGTGTTACAATGGCGAAATACTCTGGAGATCTATGANCAATTTCGACGTGAATCTGTTTTTTTTTTTAAGTGTAAGCTGAAACCCTTATTGAGAGAGTAAGTTGTGACAGAAGGAAGCAAAGTCAAGATAGCCCTTTTAGCGACTTCATGATATTTACTCTTAACACTAACCCAAAACTCTTTCAGAGACACAGATTCAAATGTGTGTTACAATGGCGAAATACTCTGGAGATCTATGAATGCTTCGTAAATAGATTTTGAACCAAACCGGTATTACTACTATCATCCGAAAAATAATCTCACAAAGATTTCAGGTGATTTACCAAGTGCCCAGTTATGCCATTTCACATTTCATTTGGCAATTCGTCGCGTTCCTTGTAGAAAGTTGTATATAACACTTTGTCTACAGCGGCCAACAACACATACCGGTTAGAAAAAAGAATAAGCTGGCAAGGGCAAGCTCAACGTTCTTATGTAGGTATGGCACTCAGTACGGCAATCATATGTACCAACTACGAACATACCTATACTTGAAAAAAGATAATTGCGTCTCGGTCAAGCTGTTTATAGAAGTTTTCTTTCTGAGGGCAACTCAAACCGACCACCGAGCTTATTCATACCAAAATTCTTGCTTCTGTAACTTCAAACAGACAAAAATTATCAACTGATTAAAAATAACCCACTTGTAGTTAGATTTTTTGCGGGATTTCTATAAAATATATAGGTTGCAGTTAGCTACTTATTTAGTAATTAGCATCATGTATTTCGCTTTTTATATACATAAAAAATTTTGTCTAAATCCGTTCAGTAGCGTGATAAAAATATCTCGCCTTTCCTTTATTCTATGTAATTTTAAATAGGTGGCCCCCTACTCAAAAAACTTAAAGGTTTTGCACATGCGAAGGCCATGCTCTTTCATTTGGTATCTCATTTTTTATCCAACGAACGGTGGAGATCTTATATTTTTTAAACAGGTGGCAACCCTACTTAGGAACGTAGTACACTATTACACAACCAGAGGCTAAGGGCCTTATTTTGTATCACGAACGATAGGCAAAACGAACGATTCGTCTTCAGACGACAACCTCTCTGATTGCGATTTTAAACTCTATCGTTCGCCTTCGTCTTTGCATACATACATTACGTTGCAAGGGTCTCGACTGCGTTTAAACCGGCTAAAATGATGCCGCCGGACTAATCGTTCGTGTGCCTATCGTATAATAACGCTGTAAGTCTTTGCATTTGACAGTGACGGTGCAGAACTGACGCCTACGCTTATTAGAATGGAATATAGTAATTTTATTAGCAGGTGCAACCCTATTAAAATTCTAAATTAAAAAGGTCACTCTCCTATCTATACCTAATATATTAGAGAAAATCTCGCCAAAATCCATTCAGTAGTTTTCGAGATTACCGCGTACAAAGAATATCGACTCTCCTTAATAATAGGTGTGTACTCGTACGCCTAACTATCTAAAGTTTTAGAAAACTTTTACTGGTTTTGCGTTCTCGTACCCCAAAAACTTGCAAAGTAGGGGAAATTGAGAGAGCAAAATGTGAAAAAGAGCTGCAAATTTCTGCTGGAAAAATTTTTCCCAGCGAAAACTTGCAAGTAAGAAAATCAGCTGATCACCAACATGTGTAAACAAACGAAAAAGTGAAGCTTACAAATATTTTGCTTTTAATTTATAAATTAACAAAAGCGTACGATGGAGAAAGTAAGTAATGGTGCACAACACAAAGTTTATTGACTTAATTATAATATATGAGTCAACCAATCTTGTGGACACTCTTGAGGAATTTCTTCCTGAATCACAACCTTCAGGCGCAGTTGCTGCTGTTGGCAAAGTTGGACTTCAAAATAAGACCGTTGAAGGTATATATTCTTGAATATTTGAGTTATATATTTTTAATATGTCCTACAGATGCAAACAAAAATACGATGATTGTCAATACCATTGCCTTATTGATGGAGTCGAGCTCATCTGAAAGTGATGGTGAGGAAGATCGCATACTTTTGCATAAAATTTTGTCTTCGGACATTTGCCTTTTCACAAGTGAACGAACTCCGCGAAATTGTATTGTGAATTATGCAGAGCAAATAGTGCCAACGTATAGCGAAAAAGAATTCCGGACGAATTTCCGGATTTCAAGAAGTTTATTCGAAAACCTTAGTGAAAGATTTCTGCATTCAAGGCAGTACAAAAAACTCAGAGAGGACAAAAGGCTTTCGCATAGAGTTCACTTACTGGTGTTTTTGTGGTTCGCTGGACACGAAGCTTGCAGTAACAGAGATTTAGGGGACCGATTTGACCTTTGTCTGTCAGCGGTGACAAACGTGATTAGCAGAGTTACAATGTTCATAAGTTCATTGAGTCCTGATGTAATAAAATGGCCTACTGAAGACAAAAAACGAGCAACGAGCGAATTTTTCAACAGAAAATGTTTCTTCTCTAAAGCAATCGGTAATTATATTCACATTTATATATGTACATACTGCAGGGCTGACTTGAAACGTTGGTATCTGCATTCGCAGTCAAAACTAGAAACAACTTAGTATAATGCGGATGTGCTCTTTTTATTTATACAAAAGAAAAGTTAAAATTTTAAATGTGTAGATACGGTAATATTTTTGCAGGTACCCACCTTTGTCAACAGGATTTCTCTGAAATTGCTGAAGATATGCATTGTATTTATGTAAATATAAGCATTATTCTATTAATTTTAACTTAGGTTGCATAGACGGCACTCACATCAGAATAGACCCGCCAAAGACCGGAAAGGATGATTATATAGATAGAAAGGGGATTACATCAATTTGTCTACAAGGAATTTGCAATGAAGATATAAAACTTATAAATATATTCGTGGGATATCCTGGATCTAGCTACGATAGCTGGGTTTTTACAAATTCAACTATTTACGATAAATTGTCTTCGTATTTTGGAGGTAATATTAATTGAAATACATATCGCTATCATTGGAAAGACATTTTCTCACCCTTTTTATTTCTTGTCGAATAAACTTTTTTGGTGATGCAGTCTAATGTACATACATTTGTTGTCTTTAAATATGTACATATTTTTTTTCTGTATTTCAGATTATTACCTTTTGGGTGATTCAGCGTACCCATGTAGCAAATTTTTAATAACACCATACAGGGATAATGGGCATTTGACTAGTGCCCAAAAATATTTTAATATTAAGCTCAGCTCCGGACGTGCATACTTTCGGCATCTTAAAGCAAAGGTTTAGGCAGTTGTATTACTGCAAGTTAAGAAACATGGAGAAACTGTGTCACTTCGTAAGAGCTTGCTGCGTTTTGCATAATATTGCAAGTGAAGATGACCTAGAATTTATTTCTGAGGTAGCTCCAGATATTATTGAAGAAGTCACAACGCGCGGCGAAATTTCTAGGGGAAACTCTGTACGTGATCACATATGTCAACAGCTACAAGTTCTCCGTCAAAATACATAATAAACTAATATACACACAGTCTCTCACAGAAGTATTTGTTGTTTAGTTTTTCACAATATTCAAAATGTTCTTCATTATAAATCTTTTTCGCTAATTTTTAATCTAAAAGATTCGATTCTATAACAAAACCAATATACATCAACGTTGAAAGCTTTGTACAAAATTTCAGAGAATTTCAAGAAATGGTCATCATAATANACCAATATACATCAACGTTGAAAGCTTTGTACAAAATTTCAGAGAATTTCAAGAAATGGTCATCATAATATCATCATAATTCAAAACTAAACAACGAATACTTCTGTGAGTGACTGTGCATATACAAATTAATTAATCACATATATGTATTTATTTCTTTTGTACTTTCATTTGCACTTAAACTACAAATTAATTAGGAATATTTGGCATTATTCATAAAAAATAAAGTAGGTTTATAGAGCATTATAAACTGACGTTTTCATAAATTTTTCAGTTTATAAACCTTTTTTAAAGCTACTTTATTTTTTATGAATAAGGCCAATTGAATATAAGCCGTTGATATGTACCATTGTCCACAAAATAATAGGAGTGCAATATTTTGACCAGTTGCACTTTATTATACTAGAATTAAATGGGCTACCAAACTGCATACCGCAATTTGTTCTAAAGATTCTGATTTAAAAATTTTAAATTTGGGTGAAAATTTGCGAAATTTTTATAATTTTTCTACAAAGCTTGAAACCTGAATTTGTATGGTGTTTGTTGTATAGTCAGCTAGACTTTTATAAAAAAAAATAAAAACATTAAATAAACAAAAGACAAAATAGGCAAAACTGGTCAAAATATCGCACTCCTATTATTTTGTTCATACTAAATAATAAACATTTAACATAAATTTTAAGTTCAGACTTTCACATTTCATTTAAGCGTATACATATATAAACAAGTAATTTTTTATCAAAAAAAACAATACGTTCAGCTATAAGTTTACCGCATTTGTTCCTGGAATAAAGAAAACTTGTATGAATGAAATATAGTTCAGTATTATTGTATGTAGATATTACAAATTCTCATTTGGTAATGACCATGGTTTTACTTTTTCAGCTAATCAGCTATCGACTTCATTATCAGCAGTTTTTCTATTTCCCTCTGCTCTTTCCTTTCCGCCAAATCAGCCTTTCTCTTCAAACTCTCCTCAAATAGTTTCTCCAATCTTTCATCCGACTTTTCTTTTTTTTCTAAATACCGCTCTAGCGAAGTTTTCTTTTGTTGGAGGTGTGCGGCGTGAAATCGGGGTCGTCTACTATATACAAAAAAATATATTAAATATATTGTATGTTAGAAATATTTATAATTTAAACATATGTACCTGGTGTAGCTGGCGAAGTTTTCCTTTTGTTGGAAGTGGACGGCGTGAAATCGGGCTCGTCTACTACATTGAAGTAAATGACTCTAATGAAGTAAATGAGCGATAGGTACATATCGATGGCTGAGTGGAAGATCGACCTATCTCGGCAGCCAATTCAAAAATGCCCTATCTCAGAAAACTTTTAAAGAACGCTCTACTTCAGAATTTTATTGAAAACCACCCTATCTCAGAATTTGGTANCGAAGTTTTCCTTTTGTTGGAAGTGGACGGCGTGAAATCGGGCTCGTCTACTACATTGAAGTAAATGACTCTAATGAAGTAAATGAGCGATAGGTACATATCGATGGCTGAGTGGAAGATCGACCTATCTCGGCAGCCAATTCAAAAATGCCCTATCTCAGAAAACTTTTAAAGAACGCTCTACTTCAGAATTTTATTGAAAACCACCCTATCTCAGAATTTGGTAGAATAACGCCCTATCTCAGAATTCGGTTCAAAAACACCCTATCTCAAACGAAAATATATTGAAAATAAGCTGAGATAGGGCGTTTTTTAATCGGCAGCTGAGTTAGGGCGTTCTTTAACCAAATTCTGAGATAGGGTGTTTTTCAATCAAATTCTGATGTAGGGCATTTTTGAAAAGTTTTCTGATATAGAACGTTGTTGAAAAATTTTCTCAGATAGGGCGTTTCGAACTGGCTGCCGAGATAGGTCGATCTTCCACTCAGCCATCGATATGTACCTGGTGTAGCTGGCGCCGCATATAAGATTTCTTCTACATCAGTGCTGATGTCAAGACTCGGCATCTCGCTGTCCACGACACATGTAGGGTATATCGACTTCTTATTTTTAAATATTTCGTGGAGTTCACTTCATGTACATAAACATAAATAAAAAAATTTATTTATTTCACTTAAAGCATATTAAAAAACCTAACGCAGACCTACTTTTGATATGCGCAGAACTGTCTAGCCCTTCCCGTCTTGGAGTTATTCGAAGCCGCTTGCTTGTAGTTCCGTTCTAAGCTATAGAATTTCGTCTCAACTTGCACCGCCGTAAACATGTAGCCCATTTCGCAAAGTTCCTTGCTAACTGTACTCCACATTTGCTTCTTGTTTTTTAGCGAAGCACTTTTTCCAACCCTTGGACGTAACTCCCTAACCTTCTGGACTAAAAATCTCGTTGGCGCATCCAACCACAATGGCTTTGCTAAATCTGGCGATTCTCCAGAGGCCGTATCCACATTTTGCTGATATGCACAATCAGGCTGCTCAGATAGAGACATGTCTGGTTCTTTTTGGGAAAACGTTATTTGTCCAAACGTATCTTCCCCGGCGACTTGCTGTATTACACACTGCCGATAATCTGCATCTGCAGGTTTAAATACGTAAATAAAAAGTGTTTGTTCACATTGCTTATAGTCTAATAATCTTAATTTCTGTTTCTTACCTGCTTGAATGTTTTTGAAAGTTCCTGGGGAACAATTAATTGTTAATTCGTTGTTATTTTCCATTTTTATTCTTTATTTTTTCCCACCAAATAAGGGCAAGGGCGGACCTACAAATTATAGTTGCGATGAAAAAACTGTTAAATAAACAATTGAGTATTACTACTGGGAATCTGCTGCAGAGAAACAGAGTTATCCGATAGAAAAATATGGATTTTTAAGAATTATATACCATTTCTACGAAAAGTTGTTTACATGGAAAACTTTGAGCGCTTTGGGCGACCTCTAAATATTTTTTGATTTTAAAATAAAAAATAGGGGCATATTTTTTCGGTATAGAACAATCCTAGGGGGTGAGAGCATAAAAATTCCGACTTTAATTTTTCACGTGTATTTTTGGACCACCCTAATGTACGTACATACATACATATCGTCACCTGAAATGCAAAATTATGTAACAACATCGTCACTGAAATTGAAAAAGTCGTGACTAATTGTTCTTTCTTAATAAAACCATGTGGGGAGTTGTAATTTGATGAAATCCATCAAAGCAATCAAAAAGTGAATTTTGAATTTTTTATAAATTATGACTTTTTGCATTCCAGTGACGATGTTGTTACGTTATTTTGCATTTCAAGAGACGGTATGTTGATACTAAAGTACTTGTACATATGTACGTGAACCTAATGAAATAAAAACAACAAAGTAGGATTTATAAATCCTGTCTCTCACTGAAATTCCAACAAATGTAGCCTATGTACATACATACTTATATACGCAAACAAAGAAAGCATCAGCTCCTTACGCTTTTTTGAATACAGCACCTAACAAAAAAAAAACTATTTTGAAGAAAGAGTGCCTTAATGTATTATATGTTAGGTATTAATTTTTAAATAGGTGGCAGCCAAATTAAAAAAACCAAAAGCTATCCGGAGACCATATTCTTTCACTTGATACCTCATTTCTTAGTCCAATGAACTTTGAAAATCTTATTATTTTTAGAAATGTGGCAACCCTACTCAAAAAATAATAGATTATTTGAACATCTAAGAGCCGAGCCAGTTTATTTGACACCTCATTTCTGGTAATACAACGAACAGTGCTGGTGCTATAACTTTGTAGACAGCTGGTAACACTATAGATACTCAAAATACAGATGATACTTAAAAAATTTCGTCTAAATCCGTTCAATGGCGTGGTCTAAATATCTCACCTTTCCTTTATTCTATGTATAGAAGATAGTAAGTTTAAATAGGTGGCAACCCTCTTTAAAATTAAAAAAGATTTTTTACATGCGAAGGCCATGCTCTTTCATTTGGTATCTCATTTTGTAATCCAACGAACGGCAAAATTGTTTTCACTTCTTAAAAGGTGGCAACCCTACTCAGAGAAGTAATACGTTATTGCGCATGTAAGTCCTTTCGGTAGACAGTGACGGTACAGAACAGATGCCTAGCTTTATTATGATTGAATATAGTAACATTATTAACAGGTGGCAACCCTATTAAAAAAAATTAGTGCTCTTCTAGAGGCCTATTTCTTTCATTTGACACCTCATCTTTTGTAATCCAACGAATGGTGCGGATCTTATAGTTTTCTAGATAGGTGGCAACGCTATTAAAATTCTGAGTAAAACAGATGCCACTCCTGCCGATGCCGAGTATATTAGAGAAAATCTCGTCAAAATCCA